TTCCCACATCCCCCTCTCTCCTTTTCCCTGAGAATCGTCAGTTCACTCCCCTTCCATACCTCTGATTCTATTATATTCGTTAATATTGTTCATCAGATTTTTTTTTTATTTCCTTGGTTTTTAGATTCACTTGTTGATAGTTACGTATTTGTTGTTCATAATTTTTATCTTTATTTACTTTCTCTTCTGAAAGAACCCCCTTCAGCAATTCATATAATTCTGGTTTGGTGGTGATGAACTCCTTTAGCTTTTTTTTATTAGTGAAACTCTTTATCTGACCTTCGATTCTGAGTGATAGCTTTGCTGGATAGATTATCTTTGGCTGTAGGTTCTTAGTATTCATCACCTTGAATATTTCTTGCCATTCCCGTCTGGCCTGCATGGTTTCTGTTGAGAAATCAGCTGACAATCGTATAGGTGCTCCTTTATAGGTAACTACCTGCTTTGCTCTTGCTGCTTTTAATATTCTCTGTCTTTTGCTCTTGGAATTTTAATTATGATTTGTCTTGGTGTGGTCCTCTTTGGATTCCTTTTGTTTGGAGTTTTGTGCGCTTCCTGGACTTGTAAGTCTAATTCTTTCACCAGGTGGGGGAAGTTTTCTGTCACTATTTCTTTCAGTATGTTTTCGATATCTTGCTCTCTCTCATCTTCTGGGACCCCCATAATTCTGATGTTGGTTCGCTTGAAGTTGTCCCAGAGGTTTCTTATATTATCTTCAATTTTCTGGATTCTCTTGCCTTCTAGCTTCTGTGGAGGAGTGTCTTCTGGCTCTTTATGTTCCAAATCTTTGACTTGATTCTTGCGATCTTCCATTCTGTTTTTAGGACTCTGTATAATATTTTTTATTTCAGACAATGTATTCTTTATTTCTTGTCGATCCCTTATCATTTCTTGTTGATTCCTTATTAATTCTAGTTGATCTCTTTTCATATCCTCATAGATCTCATCGATCTTTTCTAGGAAATTCTTGAAAAATCTTATAAGCGTAGATTTGAACTCTATATCCAGTCGCTTTTTGTCCTCCATTTCTTTCGTTTGTGATCTATTTCGTTGTCGCATTTTCGCAGCTTCCCTGATCTTGTCTGTCTATTCTTACTAATGCTTTCATACTTTATGTCTTTGTCATCTAATGCTTAGACAACCACTGTCTAAACTTGTAGGATTTTCTGAATTATATTTCTGTATAATTCAGTCTGTGATATTGCCATGAAATTAATATTTCTGAAAATAGTGATTTAAGAACAACTATGAAAAAGCTAACTCTTTAGTCTCATAGTTAAGGCTCTTCATAGTGTGGATTCACTTCTGTTTGTTTTGTGTGGGGTTTTTTTTCAGCCTATCTTTCACAATTTCCTTCTGCTTCAGTCTGGTTTATCTATTCCTTTTCATATGTGTCAGTTATTAAGCTAATCTGATTCTGCATTCACCAAGATTTCCAAAATCATGTTTCTTCCATGATTGCTTTGTGATACCTTCTGGTCAGTTCTAGTTATTTTATTCTGGTTTATGTCTACATGATCTTTATACCTTGTGTGACATTGACATTATTCTATAGCAGGGCCCTGGTATATTTTTTTCCAGTAGTTACTTTAAAAAAAAAATGTTTTATTTATTTTACGCAGAGGAAGGTAGAGGGAGAAAGAAAGAAAATCGGTTGCCTCCTGTATGCACCCTGACCAGTGACCTTTTGTTGCATAGGACTATACTCAACCAACTAAGCCACACGTGCCAGGGAAATTGTTTTTTAATATATTTTTATTGATTTCAGAGAGGAAGGAAGGAAAAGGGAGAGATAGGAACATCAATGATGAGAATTATTGATCAGCTGCCTCCTGCACGTTCCCCCTACTGGGGATCAAGCCTGAAACCTGGGCATGTGTCTGTGACTGGAATTGAACTCGGACCCTTCAGTCCACAGAGCCAAACTGGCTAGGGCAACACTTGTTTTTTTTAAATTGAGTTATAACTCACATGCCATAAAATTCAGTGTTTCAGTATATTCACAAAGTTGTGCAATCATCACCTCTGTGTAAATACAGGATGTTTTTATCACTCCAAAAAGTATCCTATACTCATTAGCATTCATCTTCCATTTTTCCCTCCCGCCCCTGGCAATCACTATTCTACCTATGGTTTTCCCTATTTTAGACATTTCACATATATCAGTTATTAAGCTAATCTGATTCTGCATTCACCAGGATTTGTGACTGGCTTCTTTTACTTAGCATGTTTTCAAGGTTTATCCTTATAGCATGTATCATTAGGTCATTCCTTTATTTTTGTTTGCATTCTTAAAAATTGTGGTAAAATACACAATACTAAAATTTGTAGCCCTAGCTGGTTTTGCTCAGCGATAGAGTGTCAACCTATGGAACAAAGGGTCCCAGATTCGATTCTGGTCAAATGTATATGCCTGGGTTATGGGCTTGATCCCCAGTAGGAGGAGAGCAGGAGGCAGCTGATCAGTGATTCTTTCTCATCATTGATGTTTCTATTTCTCTCTCCCTTCCTCTCTGAAATCAATGAAAATATTTTTTTAAATAAATATTTTAAAACCTTGCAGTCTTAACCATTTTTTAAGTGTACAGTTCAGTTGTGTTGACATTCACATTGTGCACCCAATCTTTAGAACTTTTTCATTTTTCAAGACTGAAACTTTATGCTGATTAAAAAACTACTCCCCATGTCCCTCACCCCCCAATCCCTGGCAAATACCATTCTATATGAAGTTGACCATTCTAGATACCTCATACAAGTGGAATCATATAGTATTTGACTTCTTGTGGTTTATCCATGTTGTAGCATATGTCAGAATTTCCTTTTTAAGGCTGAATAATATCCCATTGTATTTATACAATGTGTGTGTGTATATATATATATATATATATATATATATATATATATATATATATCTCCATCGTATATGGTGGTCAGTGTGCTTCCACAGAGGGAGTGCCACTCAGCCAGAAGCCAGGCTCATGGCTGGTGAGGGCTCCTGGACTGCGAGAGGGTACAGGCTGGCCTGAGGGATCCCATCAAGTGCATGAATTTTGTGCACTGGGCCTCTAGTGTGTGCTTGTGTGTGTATGTGTGTGTGTGTGTGTGTGTGTGTGTGTGTGTATAACATTTTTTTTTATCCATTCGTCAAATGTCCCTTGAAAGATGAATGGATAAACAAAATGTAGCAATATACATACAATGGAATATTATTCAGTCTTAAAAATATATAACATGGATGCTTCCCTGAACTCTTGGCTATTGTGAATGTGGGTGTACAGATATCTGTTCAAGCCTCTGCTTTTAATTTCTTTTGAATATATACCCAAAGTGGAATTGTTAGGTCATATGGTAATTCTATTTCAAAAATTTTTTTTGAGGAGCCACCATATTGTTTTCCATAGAAATTACATTCCCACCAGTAAAGCACAAGAATTCTAATGTTTTCACATCTTCACCAACACTATTTTCTGTGTTTTTTTTTTTTCTTTCAATAGTAACCATTCTAATGGATGTGAGGTGATAGCTTATTGTGGTTTTGATTTGCATTTCCCTAATGATTAGTGAGTTAATAGTTTAACATTTTCACATGCTTGCGTATATGAGCATCTTTTCATGTTTTTTGGCTTTTTGTATATCATCTTCGGACAAATGTCTGTTCAAGGCCTTTGAACTTTTAAAAATTGGATTGGGGGTTTTTTGCTTTGTTTTTTAAATATATTTTTATTGATTTCAGAGAGGAAGGGAGAAGGAGAAACATCAATGATGAGAGAGAATCATTGATTGGCTCTCTCCTGCACACCCCCTACTGGGGATCAAGACTGCAACCCGGGCATGGGCCCCTGACTGGAATCAAACCAGGAACCCTTGAGTCAGCAGGCTGATGCTCTAGCCACTGAGCCAAATGGGCTAGCGGATTGTGGGGGTTTTTTTTTGTTGAGTTGTATGAGTTCTTTGTATGTTCTGTATATTGACTCCTTATCAGATGAATGATTTGCAAATACTGTTTTATAGGTTGCTTTTCTGCTATGTTGACCATGTTCTTAAATGCACAGTTAATTTTGATATCCAACTTACTGATTTTTTCTTTTGTTGCCCTGGTGTATTTTTTAAATAACATACCACAAAAATTCACCCTTTAAAAATGTTTTTTAGCTTGGCCAGTGTGATTCAGTGGTTGAGTATCCACCTATGAATCAGGAGGTCACGATTAGATTCCTGTTCACAGCACATGCCCGGGTTACTGGCTCAATCCCCTATGTGGGGTATGCAGGAGGCAGCCTATCAATGATTCTCTCTTATCATTTGTGTTTCTATCTCTCTTCCTTTCCCTTCCTCTCTGAAATCAATAAAAATAAATATTTTTTAAAAATGTTTTTAGTGCCAGTTGGTTAGAGCATTGTCCCAATATGCCAAGGTATTGGATTTGATCCCTGATGAGGGTACATACAAGATTCAACCAATGCCTGGCTGGTGTGGCTCAGTGGTTGAGCATTGACCTATGAACTAGGAGGTCCCCATTCAATTCCCTGTCAGGGCACATGTTCAGGTTGTGGGCTCGATCCCCAGTAGGGGGGCATGCAGGAGGCAGCCAATCAATGATTCTCTCATCATTGATGTTTCTATTTCTTTATCCCTCCCATCCTCTCTCTGAAATCAATAAAAACGTATTTTTTTAAAAGGATCAACCAAGGAATGCACAAATAAGTGGAACAACAAATCGATGTTTCTCAAATCAATAAAAAAAAAACACAATTTTCTTTTTTAAAATGTTTTTATTCACAAAGTTGTACAGCTATCACTGTAATCTAATTTTGGAACACTAACGTGAAAGCCCATACCCATTAGCTGATACTCCCTGTTCTCCCCACCACTCTCCCCTGCTCTAGGCAACCTTAATGTTATTTTTCTCTATAGATTTGCTTATTCTAGAGATTTCTGATGTGTTTTTAAATGAAAATCATTTTATTCCCCCCACATATCAAAATATCACACTTTAGAAGTAGAATTTAAATGAATGTGTTATTCATTTCATTTTTTTCCATTAGGGGCTCCTTAGGTAGAGTTGACTTTAGTTGGGCCAGTGTGATTGATGCCCATTTGGAGTCACTTCTCAGATGACTGCCATCAAAGGAAGCCTAGGCAAAGGGGAAATAGGGGGAAACCTACAATAATGTCAACATTAAAATATTTTAATAAAAAATACAGACAAAGCCCCTCTCTCCAAAAAAAGAAGAAAAGCCTTTTAGCCATTTGACACTTTGTTATAAGAAGTGTGATTTTTTTTTTTCTGAACAGGTCAGGAATATCCTGCAATAGTAGAATTTGCTCCTTTTCAAAAAGCTGCAAAAAAGAAGACTAAGAAAAGAGATACTAAAGTTGGGACTATCGATGATGGTACAGTATGGCTCTAGTTTTGTAATGCTAATGCCATATGCTTTAAAAAATATTACCTTTGTGAGAATTAACTGAGCTCCAAGCTTTAAATAAGAGAACATATGGGATAAAGTTAATATGAAATACAATTCATTGATGAAAGCTTTGCTTAATCATTAAAATGGAGGTAGGATTACTATAGAGTTTTCACTCTCTGGCTAGTGGCATTCCATTCCTCCACCATTAAATAATACATTGTTGACTAGTGAGTAGTACAACAACTACTTGAGGCTTTTTACCACTATTATGATTACTTATTTTTGGGTTTTCATTTTTATCAAGAGGAAGATTTATTATTGAGAGCTCTACAGGAAAACTTTATTCAAGTAACTTAATATGAAGTAACCAAAGTGGTCAGTCCTATTTTCTCAGCTTTGAACATGAAGTTAACTACACATAGTAATTACACTGAGCCAACAGAGAGGAACTAAAAAACTGGAATAATTGCCACATAAGGTAAACTGGACCCAGATTTTGAGATCTCTGTAACTTATACTGGATAATGGCTTAGCTGTGACATTTTCTATCAGTTTGACATTTTAGAACCATCTAGTTTGATTTCCATTATTTACTACTATAATAGCTATTTTATAAAGAACACAGAGAAGACTCAACATGCAGCTGCTTATTGATTATATGATAGATTCAGACCTGGAAGACTAGATCAAGTGATATGGTCCACACTGCATAGAAACTCCAAATACAAGAAGTATAATAACTCAGATGTGTTACCCTATCTGATGTCAGAGGCATCTAGGAAAGAACTCCAGGAATTATCACCTCCAGTGCCATCCAGGACATCCCCCTTTTGTGTCGTTTTGGAACATCTGATTTTCATATGTTGAGTTTATTTAAAGTGAGGTGTACCCATACAGGAATTGCTTACATTCTATATGCATAATAAATATATACTGTAACTGTATACACATAGACTTTCTTTCACGATTATGACTCTGGATTAGTAGGATCAGTGACTTTCAAAAGCAAACTATCATCCCTGAAGTTTCTATTATAATCTGTGCTGTCTCATTTTCCCTGACCCCAAGTTACACCATTCTCCCTTTGTGGGTGCCTCTAATAGGAGTTCTGAGAGTAACCAATAAAGCTGTAAATAGTTTGTCTTGTGAGTATAGGTTTATTTTCAACCTCCCATGAAAATTAATCTTCTTTGATAAAATCCTATATAATAATTTCCTGCTTGTTTAAACTCTACTATATTTTCTGTTTCCTTAAACAATTATTTAGATCCAGAATACAGAAAATTTTTGGAAAGTTATGCTGCTGATAATGAGAAAATGACATCTACTCCAGAGACTCTGTTGGAAGAAATAGAAGCTAAAAATAGAGAACTAATAGGTAAGTGGACAAAAGGAATTAAGGTCAACAGCTTTTTCATCAGAAGACCAGTCTGACTTCCACTTCTGTCACTTGATAGCTGTATGGTCATGGGGAAAGCACTAACTTCTCTGAGACTTTTACTGCACTGAGCAGAAGACAATACCTGTGTCACAGGGTTATGCAATTGCTCTGATTAGATGGGGAAAACTGTCTGGGACCTATTTAGTGCCACACAAATGTAACATAAGTATAAAATGCTTGAAGACTCATGCATGGTACCTTTAGATGTTGGTAAGCATTTGTAAATCAGCTGATGTTTTCTAGTAATAGGCTAATATTCATAAAAAGAAATATAAAAAATATAGTTTCTACAAAACTGAAAATCTCTTGAGAAATTCTAGCTTGGATGTTGGTCCTATGAGTAAGCTGTCACTACTGTATCAACACTAAACATAAGCATAGCCACTGACTCAGAATGTCCACTCTGAAGAATTTATCCAAAGGAAGTATGTTTTCAAAAGCTAGCTACAAGATTAGATAGCTTTGTTCAGAATACTGAAAAATGAATTACATATTCTTCTAAAAGTTGGTTTTTATTAATGGATGCATATATATTCCCAATTGGACAAATTTGTACTCCCGTCTGTAGAACAGTTATTTTATTTTGTACTTTAATTTTTAAAAGGTATTTTAAATTTGCAGAATTGGAATACTGTAAAAATTTCTTTCCAATAATATAGTTGTGAACTCTTTGTTTAAGGGGCATAGTTTTTCCCACCTTGGGTGGTTGGCAGGGAATGTCAGAAAATGGAATCCTTTCTAGGGGTTGATAAGTATTATTAATAATCTCTTTACATTTATGTAGCTAAAAAGACAACCCCACTATTGAGCTTCCTGAAAAACAAGCAGGTAAACCTTTGTTTTTATAGTTTTCTCAATACATTTATTTCATTGGTTCACATTTTGTTAAACATTTTAAGAGCATTGGGATCCCCTAGGACCATGGTCAGCAAACTGTGGCTCTCGAGCCACATGCGGCTCTTTGGCCCCTTGAGTGTGGCTCTTCCACAAAATACCACGGCCTGGGCAAGTCTATTTTGAAGAAGTGGCGTTAGAAGAAGTTTAAGTTTAAAAATTTGGCTTTCAAAAGAAATTTCAATTGTACTGTTGATATTTGGCTCTGTTGACTAATGAGTTTGCAGACCACTGCCCTAGGAGAAACAGCTGCTGCTCTTACCATCGTTCTTTAAAGATTTGGCTTATTGGCCCCCTCCTTCTCTTTGGTTGCTGGACCAAGGAATCATTCCGCAAACCCAGAGAGTCCTTAGCTTGTTCAGGAGACACTCTCTTGATTTTTCTGAAAGCCTCTGGAAATACAGCAAGGCAGCAGTGGGAGACTGATACTAGCAAGTCTTGGACTTCATTCTCATTCTGAATGGGGTGGAGAGGGGGTTAAGGAGGTAGAAAGTAGGAAGGAAAGATGATCCAGTTTAGTGGGTTCCCACCATGCCTTTGGGATTGATTTAAGTTTCTGTGATGATTATCTTGTTTGAAGGTGTGTGTTGATCTTTCTTTCTAGAGAATGAGAGAAGAGAAAAGAGAAGAAAGAAGGCGGAGAGAAATAGAAAGAAAAAGACAAAGAGAAGAAGAGAGGAGAAAGTGGAAAGAAGAAGAGAAACGAAAAAGGAAAGATATAGAAAAGCTAAAGAAAATAGAAAGAGTTCCAGAAAGGGACAAATTAAAGGAAGAACCAAAGATTAAGGTATGAAAATAACTTAAACTGACTGCATGTTGCTGAAAATTGCATGTATCTACTTCTTTATAAATATGCATGTATCTTGTGTGGTGTAAATACAGTTGTTCAATTTTGTTTTTGTCCTTTTTGGTTGGGGGAGGGGCGAGTGAACCAATTAAAATCTTTATATAATACTAATAGTATGCTTTTAAAATTTTAAGATAATTTAAAAGGACTAAGTAGTTTACATGCTATTTCTTCAGGGCAGATCTGTATTGTTTTTAGCATTTAGAATGTTCCATTTTTGGATGATTATTCTGTTAATTCTTCATAAAGTAGGGCTGGCTGGCATGAATTATGGTTTTTGTTCAGCTTTTCCTTCATATTTGATACATGAAGTTGCCTCATCTGTTTGTTTTCCACTGTCTTCAGGTACACAGGTTTCTGTTACAAGCTGTGAATCAGAAAAATGTAAGGACTAAGTACATGATACAGAACACCTAGTATCATGTCACACACACAGGTCTTAGTTAATAAATCCTTTTGGTGGTGGTGGTAGTGATACCTGTAGAAAACCCCTTCAGACTGACTAGTCTTCTTGAAAGCAAGCTATTTTAAATTCCTACTTTAAAGGGGAGCCCATATGACTTCCTGATGCTCTGCTCTGTCCCCAGAAGCTTCAATAATACATAGCCAGAGGACAACCATGCCTAAATAGCTCTTTCTCTTTTTTAGCTGCCTCTCATAACTGCCTTGTGCAAGTACTACAGATAATATCCCGCATTACACGCTTCCCCCTCTCACATGATTCCCATGTTAACTTCTTGCATCTCCCTGGGAATCTATGAGCAGCTGATTCTGATTAACACATTGCATAAAGGAAGAGGAAAACCTGTAGAAAGATCCTGGCCTTGCAGCTTCCCTTCTCAGGGCATGGTTTGGACAGCCCTTGCTCCAATGACCTTCTTGGGGAAGTACTAGTACTTCAGAGAAAGTCAGGAAAAAATCTCACAGTCTGTGGAGGTGGCAGTTTATGTGGTTCCCTGAGGCTCTCCGGGGCTCATTGTTGTTGATAAGGGGCTTGGCCACGGTGTGGGAAAGTTCCCATCTTAATTCTCTGTAGCAATGTCTGCCATACCACAAGTGACTTGACTTGCTATTACTATCAGCAAGGCAGAAGGTAGAGCCATCCATGCTAGGGACACCCATTAATGTTCTTATTAGACTAATGAACATCTTGGCTTCCTAACAAAGATGTTCATTAGCGAAATAAGAACACCTCCAATGAAACCTGTACATGGTATCCTCACTTTACACTAATGCCTTCTTAGTGTCCAGTTTGGACTCACCATTTGCTGTGGCTGACTGTGTGCTGAAATACTTCATGCTTAAATTTTTGGTGCTTGGCCTTTTGCTTGGTAACCTGTATGATGCCTTTACCCTGAGACTTGAAAGTCTTCTATTTTGCCTAAGAGTCTCTCTGAATATCCAACACTTTGAGGGTATTCTAGAGATTTGTAGCAACGGTATGAAAAAGAAAACTTTTATTAGAAATCTGGTCTGTATGAACCACTTTTATTTTAGAACTACATCCTCTCATACACATATGACATTGTACAGAGTTCCTACTTAGTAGAGATGGAACTTCACAGTGCTGTTGTATGAGGTATTTGGATTTTTAAATCCAATGCTAAACAATTCTCACTATTCATCTCTAATGATAATATGACTGTACCATCATGTAAGTAAGTTACTCTCAGGCTCAAGGCAAAATTATTCTCACAATAGATCGCTCCTTTGGTGACCAAGATATTTGTCATTCCAAATAATACATAAAAATACTCCCAATAATAATGATCTACCTAGCATTTTGAATTTGTGGCATATTTTCCCATCAAGTTGTATTGACATGCTGCTTTGCTACAAAAGGCATACTTGGAAGTGTGCATTGGTTCACTTAAAGCTTGACCCATTTAAAGCCAAAGGAGTCTTGATCCTATTGCCACAAGTGATTAAACCGCTTCATTTGAGTGAATAACACTTTCATATTAATAGCAACCTTTTAGTACATCACTGCTCTTATACACTATTGTTCACCTAAAAGTTTAAGTACCTGCAGAAAAAGGGGCCTTTTGTAGTCAAAATTTAAAATATTTAGTATATTGTTTTCCTTGATAGGCTTAGAAGACAGTGCCCCACCCTTCAAAATAAATTTGTTCTTTTTTAAAGTTGCTCAAGAAGCCAGAAAAGGGAGATGAAAAAGAATTGGACAAAAGAGAGAAAGCCAAGAAATTGGACAAAGAGAATCTGAGTGATGAAAGAGCCAGTGGGCAAAGTTGTACATTGCCCAAACGTTGTGATGCCGAATTTAAAGATGAAAAGCCTAAGAGGTCAGTAGATGAGGGCTCTTTAGCACACTTGTTTTCAACGTATTTCTAGACGCTAGTTTTACTGGTATATCTTTGACTTATACCTGAATTAAATAAGCTGTTTTAACAGGGACAGAGGGTTTTTTAAATATTCTAATATCTTGATCTGGGTGGATGACTTTTGTTTTTTTTGTTACTGTTTTCCTTTTTGTGTTAATCCTCACCCAAGGGTATTTTTCCATTGATTTTTAGAAAGAGTGGAAGGGAGGGAGAGGGAAACATCGATGTGAGAGAAATACATTGATTGGTTGCCTCGTGCAAGTGCATGTGCCCCAACAAGACCCTGGATGGAGCCTGCAACCTAGATACATGCCCTTGACCGGAATCGAACCCTGGACCCTTCAGTCCATGGGTGGATGCTCTATCCACTGAGCCAAACCAGCTACGGCTATTATTGTTTTTTTTTAAATGCTCGTATTTTTTTTCACTCTGCTTCAAAAGTGCAGCCTCATTGCAGTGGCCAAGTTAGAATTAGAGTATTCCTGCATTTGTGATCAGAAGATCTTTGTGGGTACATTCTCAGGTTTGTCTTTTCATGCAGACCTGAAGATGAGAGTGGCAGAGACTATCGGGAGAGGGAACGGGATTATGAACGCGATCAAGAGCGCATCCTTCGGGAAAGAGAGAGGCTAAAGCGTCAAGAAGAAGAGCGCCGGAAGCAGAGGGAGCGCTATGAGAAAGAGAAGGCTTTTAAAAGAAAGGAAGAAGAAATTAAAAAAGAGAAAGAAGCACTTCGGGATAAAGGAAAGAAGACTGAAAGTACAGAATCACTAGCCAGCTTAGAAAAAACAGAAAAGAAAGAGGAAGTGGTTAAGAGAGATCGCATTAGAAACAAGGTGCTGCTTTTTGTTACACTTATTTTTTCTTTTCCTAAAAGGGCTAGCTCATTGTTTATTATAGAACTTTTAAAGGAAATCCTATTATAGACAATTTTATTACAGGAACTTTAACTCTGCAGCTTTTTTCAGTATTGTTTGGGTCCTGTTATTTATTTATTTTATTTTATTTATTTATTTTTAAAATATATTTTATTGATTTTCTTACAGAGAGGAAGGGAGAGAGATAGAGAGCTAGAAACATCGATGAGAGAGAAACATCGACCAGCTGTCTCTTGCACACCCCCTACCGGGGATGTGCCCGCAACCAATGTCCATGCCCTTGCCGGAATCAAACCTGGGACCTTTCAGTCCGCAGACCGACGCTCTACCACTGAGCCAAACCGGTTTCGGCGTTTGGGTCCTTTTATTAACTTACTGTAGAAATTTCAAACATACACAAAAGTAGAACAGAATAATACAATGTACCCATCACTCAGCTTCAATAATTATCAACTAGAGGCCAACTTCCTTTCCCCTTCACCCCATCCCTACCCATTCTACTGGGTTATTTTCAAGCAAACCCAAGATGTATAATTTCTTCTTTACATTCATCAATATTAGAGATCAAGTCTTTTTCTTAATAACTATAATCCAAATAGCCTTTTCACATAAAAAAAAAACCCTAATAATAATTCCTTAACATCATACCTGCTCAGTTTTCAGATTTTCCCAATTGTCTCATTTATATCTTTTTTATAGGCTCCAAACAAGGTCCACAAGTTGTATTTGCTCGATATCTCCCCTTAAATCTCTTCCAATCTAAACAATCCCCTCCTTTTATTTTCCATTTATTTGTTGCAGAAACCAGTTTGTTCTGTAGAGCTTCTAACGGTCCAGATGGGCTAATTATTGTACATTCCTGTGGTATCACTTAACATGTTCCTTAATGTTTGTTTCCTTGAAAGCTGATGGTCATATCTAGGGCAGGGGTCAGCAAATGTTTTCTGTAAAGGGCCATATTATAAATATTTTTAGATTTATGGGCCATATGGTCTCTGTCACAACCAGTAAGCTCTTAAGCATAGACATATGTAAAAGAATGAGTGTGGCTATGTGCCAATGACATTTTACTCACAAAAACAAGCATGCCCTCACTTAGAGGCCTGAATATATGAGACTGCAATTTTTGGCAGAACACTTCATAAATAGTGTTGTGTACTCCCTATGCATCATGACAGGAAGCATATAATGTCTGGGTGTCCTTTTAGTGTGATGCTTTGATTGATCAATAGCAGTTATATTGTGTAAAAGAATATCCTTGCTCAATGTGTATATAGTTCACATACTAGAGACAGAAAAAGCACATGTGACAAAATGTTAAAATTGTAAATCTAGAAGAAAAGTATTAGTATTCATTGTTTAAGATTTACAACATTTCTATAGATTTAACATTTTTCAAGATAAAATGTTGGAAAAACAACTAATCAATAGTGTAAGGCTCAGTGGTTGATCATCGACCTATGAACTAGGAGGTTTGATTCCCAGTCAGGGCACATGCCCGAATTGTGGACTTGATCCCCAGTGTGGGGTGTGTAAGGGGCAGCCAATCAATAATTCTCTCTCATCACTGATGTTTCTATCTCCCCCTCTCTGAAATTAATAAAATTATTTTAAAAATAAAAGTCAGCTGAAACCGGTTTGGCTCAATGGATAGAGCGTCGGCTTGGGGACTGAAAGGTCCCAGGTTCGATTCCGGTCAAGGGCATGTACCTTGGTTGCGGGCATATCCCCAGTAGGGAGTGTGCAAGAGGCAGCTGATCGATGACTCTCTCTCATCGATGTTTCTAACTCTCTATCGCTCTCCTTTCCTCTCTGTACAAAATCAATAAAATATATTATTTAAAAAAAGTCAATTTACCGATAGGGAATAGGTAGGCAATGGCTGTGGTTTATCTAAATAAATAAAAAAATCTAGCTAATTCAGTTCCTCTTGAAATCGTTAAGAAAATTAGATAATAGCGCCGAAACCGGTTTGACTTAGTGGATAGAGCATCAGCCTGCGGACTGAAGGGTCCCAGGTTCAATTCTGTTCAAGGGCATGTACATTGGTTGTGGGCACATCCCCAGTGGGGGGCATGCAGGAGGCAGCTGATCGATGTTTCTAGCTCTCTATCTCTCTCCCTTCCTCTCTGTAAGAAATCAATAAA